CTTCCTGTTGTGATTTTTCTTTCGTCTACCATATAGAATACTGTACCTGTTGTAAGATACATATGTACATGCACCCACAGAATTATGAAGTTCCAGATTTCCTTTTTGTGACCCAGGCCTGGTGCCTTGAGTTGAGGAGAAATGTGCTGTTACAGGGGCTAGTGTACTTTGAGGATGTTGCTGTGGACTTCACATGGGAGGAGTGGCAGGACCTTGATGATGGTCAGAGGAATTTGTACTGGAATGTGATGCTGGAGACCTACAGCATCCTGGTGTCATTGGGTGAGTGAAACTCCTCAGTGTCAGGGGCAGTACTTTCTTTGGGTATGGTACATGAAGGAACCACTTAAAAGATTTAATGCTATTTAGGTAAGATTTTATTCCATAAAGAATGCATCATCCCTCTCCAAAGAAACTTTGAAATTGGCCCTGTCATTTCATACCCTCTTAAGATGAGCTCTGGTCATCCTTTCAAGAACCTGACAACAATTTTGTAAAGTCCCTGTTATTATCCATTAAAGGGTACTGCATTACCAAACCTGAAGTGATCTTCAAGTTGGAGCAAGAAGCAGAACAATGGACAATAGACTCCCCAAACCAGAGCCTACAAGGTCAGTATGTCCTGGGCACTGAGGCTGGAAAGAGTCAGGTCCAGCATATTTTAGTCATGTTCAGCTGTTTTTACCAATATATTTGCTAGATTTCAGACCAGAGAAGTGCTGGCCTACTTAGAAACTCATACATTATATAATCTCCAAAGAGGGCTCTAACACTTATACACCCACATTTTATTTTATTTTATTTTATTTTATTTATTTTTTTGTCTTTTTGTCTTTTTTTTTTTCCGTGTCCGGCAACGGATCGCAACCCTCAGTGTTGCCCCTGTACCGGACCGGGACCGGCAACGGGATCGCAAGCCTCGGTGTTGCTCCCGCGCCTCGCTCAGCCAGTGAGCGGGAACCGGTCTGTATATGGGATCCGAACCCTCGGACGGGACCGCCGCCGCACTTCCCAAGCGGCGCACCATCCAGTGCGCCACCGGGCGGCCCTTTATTTTAATGAGCAGTCATATACTTCCCCAAATCTAATCTCTACCTTTCTTGTTTTAGACCCTTTTATTTACTGTGAACTTTATCAGTATTCTTGGTAGCTCTCTTTTTGTCCATTATCATGTACATCTTCTTCCAGGATGTTTTAGTCCATGTTTTTCTGCTTGTAACTGAATATCTGAAAATAGGTAATTTGTAAGGAAACAAAATTTATTTTTTATAGTTATGGAGGCAGACAATTCCAAGGTTGAGGTGTCACATCTAGTGGGGGTC